GTGTGTGTGTGTGTGTGTGTGTATTTGTTAGCAACTCTGCCCTCTTGGTCTGCCAGGGAACAGCATTTGTGGCATTTTTCAAACATGAAGTGGGAGTCGAGTAAGGCTCTGGTAGGGGGTGACTTGCTCTTTAAAGAAATTGAGATTAGAAAGTAGAACCAAAGTACACGGTGCAGATTTTAAACGAAAACTATTGGGATTCATATGTTCTACAGTGAAATATGAGCATTTTCTCAAACCCCTTTCAGTTATTCTCATTACTTTTCTCCTAGACTCCACAGACAGAACTATACGATGTGTGCTTGAGAATACTGTCACACACAGACTTTGTGTTTTAATGTTTTATATTTCCTTCACATGCAGCTCTCTCAATTAAATACTCATACAATGGTTATAAATTACACCTAATCCATTAGTTGCTCCAGCTTTAGCTCATCATCCAGAACAGAATCAAGTCATGTTTGGCTTGGACGCCATGCAAAGGGAATTACTAGTCCTTGTTCTAGTCATCAGAGATGATACTTTTCTGCACAGCAGCTAGATCAATGTTTATTTTAAAAAGTAAGAAAGCGAGACTCTATAAAGTGTCAGACCTGAAGGTCTTCACGCCAGTTTAGTTACAGCAGCTAGACACTGAGCAACGGCCTCAAACTCCAACCTTTCTCCTGAGCTGAACAACAAGCAGTCTGTTCTCTCTGCTTGGCTCCTGACTGAGGAAAAACCCCACGCACTTAACGCACAATCCCACTTCATCAATCTGCAATGTTCCTCGGGATCTTCGTCTACAGCTCCCAACTCAGATCCACACCTTAAAAGTGATACACATCCATGTGAGCATCTAAGGAGTTTTCTGAATCCAAATAAAAAGATGTGGCATTGCAAGATTTAAAACTATGGCGAGACCTTTGCTAAAGAGCTCCTGATCAAGCTCCTGATCCTAGGACAGCCAGAGGACGTGGTTTTCTTAGGAGCTGTCTGCAGATTAGGCGTTTAACCCAGAGACCGCTTCCGTTTTACAAAGACGGCTTCCCCCATCACAACGAGCGTACTTAACATGCACATACTGTATACAGAGCAGAATTCTGACCTGAAGAGCTGGTCCTCCTGTTAGGACTCACCTATGTCCAAACACTCCTCACCGCAACAAACACAACACCACTCACCTTCTGTTTGGGTGTTCTGTCCTGAAGAAGAGCCAGCTTCTCTCTGAGGGTGTTAGGTTTGAAGGAGCTTATTACCCTGTACTGAACTCCTGTCGCCTCGTCACACAAACACCTCCAGCGGTGCTCTGGTGCTCTGTCAGAACGTCGGCATTTTTACATTACAGTTTATTTTGAACAAATGCTCCTTCCATCGGGCAGAAATTGGACTAAAGAAATCCAAAAGCACATTTCTCTTCCCTCAAAAGTTTTTGACTTGCTACGGAGTCCAAAACCTCAAACTTCCCATGAACCCAAAGTCACCACTTTCTGTGTGAACAAAGCCTTTGCCACTTGCCTCAACAACATACTAACTGTAACTGGAGACGATTACTCATAGATCCCTGTGGAGGTGCTGCACTGTGGTTATGTTGCTGCTACAAAGGCGAGCATCCTAAATCGATGCCGAAAATAGAGAAATGAGAGTCTGATGATCCCTGGGTCCTTGGGGGGTTTTTGCAGAGCTAAAAAGGGAAGCTCATATTGTGCAGGTGAAACCAAACATTGTTGATCTGCTAATGGAGAGAGTCTCTCATGAGTCCACTAGAGCGGAGTGCATGTGAGAAAGCATTTGTCTCCATCTGCCTCCGATCATTTGAATGAAGTGCTTGTTTGAGCTGATGGCATTTTTTCATGCTCTAATATGTTTGTTCAAGCATTTCCTGCGAGCTGCTCAGTGGCACCATCTCTCAGTGTGCATGAATTCACTTTGTGCTTTTGCTTCAGAAGTAAACACACTTCCTTTCAACTGATGTGGCTGCAAATCCCTTCTCTTTAACATCCAGAGTAAAACTAAGCTACCAAACTCACTTTGACATATTTTTCTGCACAGAAAACACGATGCAAAAGAAGCTGTCAAGTGTTTGTTTCAATCCAAACCAGCCTGTTTGCTTAAAATAGAAAACAGGCATGTGTGAGGCTCTGCATGTCTACAGGAAACCGATCTGACCCACGGGCTTAGTGGCTGACTTGGTGAGTGCCTCTCATTCTGTTCCAGATGTTTATCACATCAGAAAGGCCTAGCAATAGGTAGGAACACAACCTCCTTTCAACACGGGCACGCTCGCATCCAGACGCACAGACATTCCAGCTGCAGTCCGTGTTGCAGGTCAGTGACAGATGTGCCGGTGGGAAGTTTCACACACGTCTGATCCTGTGCAGTGTCGGAGGAGCGGCAGAGGTCAGTAGATCGGATATGTTCACACAAACACGAATTACATTAACTCGGCATAGATTTGAATAGAAACAGAGAATAATTGTCAAGTTAAAGGTGCATTGTGTAAGGATATAGTGAGAATTTTACAGTGAGGAAATCCCAATAGAGTCTAATGTCATGTTGGAAGGAAGGTTATACTGAAACATGTTTCATGTGCAGCTGGCTGCGGGGATTGTCAGGAAGGAGGGATGTAACTGCTGTTTACTGTCAATGAGTGTGGGGGTGCCGTAGCTAATACTGCGGCGCCGAAAACTGTAATTTGACGACGGGGATGACGGTGGCACAGGAGTTAAGTGCTCGCCCCGTAATCGGAAGGTTGCAGGTTCGAGTCCCGCTCAGTCTGTTGCTGTCGTTGTGTCCTTGGGCAAGACACTTAACCCACGATGCCTGCTGGTGGTGGTCGGAGGGACCGGTGGCGCCTGTGCTCGGCAGCCTCTCCTCTGTCAGTGCGCCCCAGGGCAGCTGTGGCTACATCGTAGCTCATCACCACCAGTGTGTGAATGTGTGTGTGAACGGGTGAATGACTGATTGTGTTGTAAAGTGCCTTGGGGGGTTCCAGGACTCTAGAAGACGCTATATCAAATATCAAATACAGGCCATGACGGCCGGCAAAAAGCTCCAGTTCTACCACAGGATGTCATTTTTACTTCTTTTCTACATAATGCACCTTTAAAAAACTGTTTAAAACTAGAAAAATGCTGAAAAATATGGAAAGGTGCCAAAGTATCTACTGCTCAAAATGCCAACATCAACTATTATCTGAGCTGACACAAATGTTTTGATGTGAGCGATCCAACGTCAAAAGTAATGTTAAGGCTGCTGCTAGTGGGTCATTAAAGACACCATGGTAACCAATAAAATGTGTCTCTCTCACTCACTAAAGTCAAACTTCATCTGAGGAAAAAGCAAACTAAGCCCCAACCAAATATGTGCCACTAGTCGTCAAAATAAAAGTGTTTTGAAGAAACAATGTGGCGGTTTTACCATTAATCTCTGGAAATGTCCATTTAAGTGTTGTTGAAAAAAAATCTGGTCTAAAATATGAGTGGGTCTAATTCTCTGGGTGTCACAGTGTTTCCTTCTACGGGAGCCCATGAGGACGAAATGCATTTGCTGATTTGTAACAAGCATTACAAAACTTTCGCCATTCATGAACATTGTACATGTTTACCTCTTCACTTGTTGCCAGTGATGAAAGGGAGTCTGATGTACTTGTTATTTTTCTAGAGATGGAACGATCTGGCAAAGTACTCGTTCAAAAATTGAGCTTCCAGGGATTTTTGACCCTAATGACGATCCGTAGGTAAGGTCTTTGAACACAAAACCTACCACAAGGATTTGGGCATGTACTGCCCCATGGACGTAGTCCTCTGCACTTTTTAGTCTTTGAGCACCAGGACCAAGCAGAAAACAACTGCTTGTGTTGAAGCTGTTTCCCATTAGAACCGTCCATACAGTGGCATGCCCAGATCTTTTAAAATGGGGTGGCCCAGGTGAGGCACAGCTTTGTGCAAGGGTGGCACCAATCGTTATGCTTTCTTTGTTTTACCCCCAACCCTTTTGTGGACAGTGAAAAGCCTATTTAAAGGTAAATTAGTGTGGTGGCACTTGGGGTGGCCAAACAGATTCCAAGGGTGGCATGTGCTACCCCAGGCCACGCCCCTGCGTCCATAAGCTCATCTATTGGATCTGCCGTACCTGCCACCTGTGTATTGACAGTTCAGCATTCCTGACATTGCATAAAAGAGCCTCTAGGCTGTAGTTTTATACATAGTTTTTGTATACTTACTGTAAAGATCTAAACTAACTGAATGTAGCTTATTGAAAAAATCATAAAATATATCAAAATGCCAGTTTGATCATGTTTCTGCGATCAATTTAAATTATTATTGTATTAAAAGGTCTGCCTGAGCTTTAGAACTTCAACAAGGTCTGAGTTTATTCGCTGTTTTAATACTTCTAATAATATTTTTTTTCATGTTTTCGGTCTACATCTCACCCTACGACGCAGAGCAACCCTGATTTAACTTGACATCACAATCTGCATGTTTTATAAGCAGCGGGGATTGAATTGTAATAGAATAATTAAGTGTTCTTTGCACCCCCAAATGCTCAGAATCACAAAAATCATCAGCATGGAATAAAAGAAAGCGCTCGTCTTCTTTTTTCAACCAAGCAGTGTGCAAAAGCGTGCCCTATTCCAGCAGCTGCTTGGACCTCTATTGTGCCTTGTTCCAGCGGTGCCACCGTGCGTAAATGCCATTAGAGCGCGCCAGCTGGATGTAGAAGTGGATGTGTCAGTCATCAGCTACACAACACATGATACCAATCAGAGCAGCTGCTAAGCTCCTGTTTCCCCAATAATCGTCAGCCATGCACCAGCAAGCCATCACTAATATACCAAAGAGCGAAGTTGGATTATAGGAGCACAACTTTCTGTGATTACATGGAGATAATAGAAAATTAACCCCAGCTTTCCTTGCCTGTGCCCTTTTTTAAAAGATACAGAAGCGTGGTGTAGCTGTTTGATGACGAGCTTGGATGGAAAAGCTGTGCTGCGCACTGAAATGATTAAAAGTTCTTACCGAGATACTGCCTTATGTCCAGCAGGATTTTAGGAGCTCCACCGTTCAGCTGGTAAAACAGAGAGCCGAAACAGAAGAGGAAGAGCGCAGCCATGCAGAAACCATAACCTCTCAGGGAGAAGCGCACAAGCAGAGCCGAGAAAGCGCCGTGGTTCCTCTTGTGTCGCTCTCTGATGTGGTTGGGGGTCTTGTTGCTGTGATGGGCACTGCCGCTAAAATTCTTCATCATCTCCTCCTCACAATGCAACGTGGAAAGTCACCCATCCGCCTCGGGAAAGTGAAAGTTGCCGCTTTGGGATCATTTGAAGGAAGAATAAGGATGGTGGGGTGACGGGGAGATGAGGGGTCCTGGTCTTTGGAGACGCGCAGGCACTCCGGAGCTCCTCCAAGGTTGATTTATAGTGCGCAGCTTTCAGCTTCTGCTCGCTCTCTGGTTGACTATTCCTTCCTTCCGTCCTCCCAGCCGATTTAAGGGTCCATCCTTCCCCTCCAAGTCTTTCTGGGTGTCAGATTACTGGACGTGGAAAGAAGGAAAAACCCGCCACCTCAGGCAACATTTGGTGTGAGTTAAACAGCGTCACCTGGTGTTCTTAAGGTCTGAGCCCTGCATTAAATGTTTCATTTAAACCTCAAAACGTTGATGTTTTAATTCATCATCTACCTTTGTATATAAATCCACAACAAGATAATGCAGACGAGCCCTTTTATCAACTGATGCTCTCATAAAATAGAACAAATGGAGACGTGTACACTACAAAAACTGATGTTCTAAGCCGTTTTCAGATATGTTTTTAAGTCTAAAATGACGCACATTTCTTATCTTCTAAAATAAGGTCATTCATCAACATGATCAAATGTTCTTGTTTTGAGTAAATCTGTCAATGGGGTAAGCAAAAGTTGCACAGCTACAATTATTAAAGGTGTGGGAAACTTGTTATATTAATACATTTGCAGCGGTCTCTGGCAGGAACGAATGCCTCGCAAGCCGTACTCGGGGAAGAAAAAGCCCATCAGCATAAGGCTCATTTCTTGATATTTTAACACCTTACCTTGGATTTGATATTGGCACCGGGACTCTACCACAGACTTCATTTGCTCTGCGACATGGATTTTTTTATCTCCACAAATAACACGCCTGGAGGAGCTTCTGCCATGTGGTTGAGTTATTAATGCTAACGGTTAGCTTCGGCTAGCTGAGACACATTATGCTGATTCTGGATGCTAAAACAACAACAGCCTGCTTTTAGCACCTCCTAGTGTCCGTTTTAATTCACTGTCATAAAAACAAAACTGAAACTCTTCCTCGCTGTGCATTTATCTTTTTAACACCTTAATCTAACGGCTGAAATGTTTCCTCAGCCATCATTAGTTTCTACAGGACTGGTTCATCAGTAAATCAAACAAATCAGCTGGTTTCGTGATCTAAAACATGCAAGAATTGTCTCTGAAATGTTGCGATTCAGAAAACTCCCAATGTAGACTTTTGTTTGACTCCTGTTGTGGTCGGATGTTCTTTTAAATCTTTTTTAGCTTCATCAGATAAATGTTGTTTCTTCTGAGGCTCCACCATGATAAACACAATATAATAAACGCTAGCCAGTTGTAGATCGCCTGTTCTGAGGTGCCGTCGTCGGTACAAGATCTGCTCGGGTGCAGGATCTGCTCGGGGTCCTTCGACTGCCGATGATGTCACATGACTGCAAATCTACTTGGCTTTCACACACACGTTTTGGAAAGACATCAGCAGTTTTGTTAATAAATTCTTGTTTGTTAACACCTAAATGTTTTCTTTATAATTGTAATTTGTTAATAAAACACCATATTATCTTTGTTTTGTAAAGAATGTGAAACTGCATAAAACCAACATCGGACTGACAAAAAACAGAACAGTTCTTATATGTGAAGCCACGTCTGTTTGTATTAATGTGGAGTTTGTCTGTATATTTCCTTAGTTGTTATCTAAATACATTCTTTCACTCTAAATATTGCTTGGTGTCTTTCAATAAAGTTCTTATATTTTATTTTGCCCCATTTCATCAACATCAAGAGCTTTTGAGGGTCACCGTTTATCATTTGCTTATATTTTACATTTCCTTTGGAAAATCAAACATATTTTCTCCAAAAAGTGTTGATTTTTGGACTACAGGACTACAACCGCTAAGACTACGACCGCAAATTTGTTCTGACCAATCAAAATCATAACGTGATAACGTCACTTCCGTAAGCTTCATGTTCAGCCAATCTACTACTTTGACATCGTCGGCAGTCGAAGGACCCCGAGCCGATCCTGCACCCGAGCAGATCTTGTACTGACACCGTAAAGTGTGACTTCACAGGAGCTTTACGGAGAGGCTGAAATTGCAAACGGGGTATCCTGCTAACTGGGGGCGGAGAGGGCTGAGAGATATTTCATTAACCCTGTAAAAGGTCATTTTAGCACATTCTGACTCAATAAAACAATTTAAAAATGTGAGAAAAGTTGCCTTGTATGCCTTTAAAACTAACTCAATTCTCACATTAGACTCGTTTGCTATATATTTGAATTCTAGCCCAGCAACTTTTGCTTGTCCCACTGGGACTGACTTTATTTCACATTTTTGCAGATGGTCATGTTTACTTTGTCGACAAAAAATAAGATAAAATAATAAAAAGATAAAACAGTAAACATTTTTTGGGAGAAAATTTATTTTAGCTAAATATTCGTCGCCGTCGTCGTCGTCTTCCTCCGCTTATCCGGGTCCAGGTCGCGGGGGCAGCATCCCAACTAGGGAGCTCCAGACTGTCCTCTCCCCGGCCACCTCCACCAGCTCCACCGGCAGGACCCCAAGACGTTCCCGGACCAGATTGGAGATGTAACCTCTCCAACGGGTCGACCTGGGGGCCTCCTGCCGGCAGGACATGCCCGAAACACCTCCCCAGGGAGGCGTCCAGGAGGCATCCTGACCAGATGCCCAAACCACCTCAACTGACTCCTTTCGATCCAGAGGAGCAGCGGTTCTACTCCGAGTCCCTCCCGAATGTCCGAGTTCCTCACCCTATCTCTATGGCTGAGCCCGGCCACCCTACGGAGGAAACTCATTTCGGCCGCTTGTATCCGCAATCTCGTTCTTTCGGTCATTACCCAAAGCTCATGACCATAGGTGAGGATTGGGACGTAGATCGACCGGTAAATCGAGAGCCTGGCTTTCTGGCTCAGCTCCCTCTTCACCACGACAGATCGGCTCAGCGTCCACATCACTGCAGATGCCGAACCGATCCGCCTGTCGATCTCCCAATCCCTCCTACCCTCACTCGTGAACAAGACCCCGAGATACTGTAATGAAGTACATTAAAGTTTTTAATGAGCCATAAGGCGTGGGATTCCATAGGAAATATGGAATCCACCTAACGGATCGGGGGGTTTATTTAGACCAGAAGATTGGATATTTTTATTGCAGGGATTAGATAACCGTTACATAGTCACTCAGAGACAACAGAAGAGAGAGAGAGTCAAGTTTAAAAGTTAAGAATTTTATTACTAACAAATTAAACTAGACTGACTTTAAAACTAAATGTATGGTGTAACGAAAATGGATGAAACGGTGGATGGATGACGTGTGATGTTAAATCAGAACCAGCAAATCCAAAGAAGCGATTAGTTCTGACAGGAACTGAAGATGTTGTTTTGAAATAAGCTTGGGTTATTTTCAGAAACAGCATGAGACACCATCAAGTCGGGTCTACCTGCCTTGTGGAAGTCCTCGGTAGATCAGGAATGCCGAGGTCCAGCGGTAACCATGTTAAATCAGAACCAGCAAATCCGAAGAAGCGATTGTTCTGACGGGAACTGAAGGTGTTGTTTTCGCATTAAGCGTTGGTTCGGAAGTTCAGAAACACATGAGACATTATTCGCCGGTCTACCTACCCTTTGGTAAGTCCTCTGTTGATCAGGAATATCGAGGTCCAGTGGACCCTCTCTGGAACCGAGCCGGTAGGAAAAGCCGCGATTCTGATCAAACCCGTCTTGAGTTACTTCCGGCACACAATAAGTTATTGGCGTTTGGTGAGACCCAAGCCTGGGCCCGGAAGGTTGAGCTTTTATTCTGAAAGGAGATGTTGTCGCTGGTTGGTATAGCGACTGTATTTTTCAGCTTGTCGTTGTTCTTTCGGTTAAAGAGTTTAGATCAGGATTGGCCACTCCGTCACTTTCTCTGGAACACTTTGTACTGGCGTTAGAGCTGACGTGGCGTAGTTTTATACTTCGGACGTTATGGTTTATAGTCGAATGAAAAATGACCAAACACCATCACAACCACGCCTCCGTCAGATCTGTAAGATTCTGATTGGATCAGTGAAAGGAATGTGTTATGTCTTTTTAACACTATGTGAAATGAGTCCTGTTGGAACACTTAAAGTCATATTACTTATTATATTCTATAGGATCATAATAAAGTAATTAATATTTTGATTTCACAGGTCGGTCACATCTTATTTATTGGCTAACACTTTGATGGATTAGCTTTATTAAAATAGAGTTCTTTGATTAATTAAAAGAAAAGAGTACATTCTTCGTTCTTCTGTTGAGCTGAAAATAAGCAGGTTAGAAGGAATGCATGAGACCTAGAGTTTTATCTCATGCCGACTAGTTCTGAGCAAAGAAGGGAAAAATAAGAGTCATTCCGTTCCGTTACAATACTTAAACTCCTCCACTTGAGGTAGGACCTCTCTCCCGAACCGGAGTTGGCAAGCCACCCTTTTCCGGTCGAGAACCATGGTCTCAGATTTGGAGGTGCTGATCCTCATCCCAGCCGCTTCACACTCGGCCGCGAACCTACCCAGCAAGAGTTGAAGGTCAGAGCTGGATGAAGCTAGGAGGACCAAATCAACTGCAAAAAGCAGAGATGAGATTCTCCTGCCACCAAACTCGACACACTCCACACCACGGCTGTGCATAGAAATTCTGTCCATAAAGGTAATGAACAGAACCGGTGCCAAAGGGCAGCCCTGGCAGAGTTCAACCCTCACCAGGAACAGGTCCGACTTACTACCGGCTATGCGGACCAAACTCACGCTCCTCTGGTAAAGGGACTGAATGGCCCTTAACAGAAAGCCACCCACCCCATACTCCTGGAGCGTCCCCCAAAGGGTGCCCCTGGGGACACGGCCATAAACCGTCTCCAAATCCAAAAAACACATGTGGATTGGTTGGACAAACTCCCATGCCCCCTCCATCACCCTTGCAAGGGTATAGAGCTGGTCCACAGTTCCACGGCCAGGATGAAAACCACATCCCTCCTCCTCAATCTGAGATTCAACTATCGATCGGACCCTCCTCTCCAGTACCTTGGAGTAGACCTTTCCAGGGAGGCTGAGGAGTGTGATCTCCCTATAGTTGGAACACACCCTCAGGTCACCCTTCGTAAAGATGGGGACCACCACCCCGGTCTGCCACTCCACAGGAACTGCCCCCGATGACCACGCAATGTTGCAGAGACTTGTCAACCACGACAGCCCTACAACATCCATAGCCTTGAGATACCCAGGACGAATCTCGTCCGCAAAAAGCAGAGACGAGATGCTCCTGCCACCAAACTCGACACACTCCACACCACGGCTGCACCTAGAAATTCTGTCCATAAAA